CTGAATTTTAGAGGAAAAAAACCTGCAATGAAACGTCACTCTTATGAAAAATATATGAGGTGGCTTCCAGTAATTATAGATCAGTGTGGATATGTTTCTTTCATCAGCCATTAATTTATATCAATTATTTATTGAGTCCTGTGATGTTGTGTGCTTGAAACCACTTAGGACTGGGTGCTGAAATGTGTTCTTTAAAGGGACAGATTATAGATTCTGTTTCAAGATTTTTTTTTTCTCCTGTGACTTACATGGAAAGAAAGAATAAGCAGGTGAGATGAGATCAAAAGCAATCCAATCCTTAAAATGAAGCGATTTCCCCCACCCTTAAAGTTATGGTGAGAATTTTTACAACTTGTTTTTTGCCAGTAGCTTCTGCAGTTCCATAGATGATGCTATTCTTAAGAACACTCTTGGTGGTCCCAAATGATAGCTATCTTAGGAATTGTCCTGACTCATATATCTGCATATTCCTGATTAGATGACCTCCTGGGTGTCCTAGTCATATGCATAATTATAAGATCAGACCCTTTCCAGGTTTCTTCACAACATCTGGTCACAAAAGCATGTGGAGGAGCTTCAGTTCCTAGGCAACATGAACTCAACACTCAGATCCAGCTGGTGACAGCTAACATACCGCTGTTTTATTCTCTTTTTACTTTTGAGCGGTTTTCTGTTCTTAAGTCTTCAATGATAACAAAGGCGACTGCTCTACATAGAATGGAAACTTCCTAAGTGTCAAGGAAGAAGAATTGTGAAAAAATGATGAAGATGGCTCAGTGACAGAAGCAGTAGCCTTAGCAACATTGGCAAAAATTGCTTTAACTTCAAGATGAACTAAATTGCATGGACCCACTAATTGGGAAAACTATGTGCCAGGCTGGCTCAGAATGCTCAATTCCAGCCCACCTGGCACACTCCCTTCAGCCTGCCTGGCAGAATTCAAGTGAGAATGATGCTGGCTTAGCCAAGGATGGAAAGGACAGGTGGTGAGAAGTGGTTCTAGTAACCAAATGTCTGTTCACATCTTTTATCACTTCCTGTTATGCATTGAACTGTGTCTCCCAAAAACCCACATGTTAAAGTCTTAAACCCTAGTACCTTAGAATGTGACCTTATTTGGAAATAAGGTTGTTGCAGATGTAATTAGTTAAAATTGGGTTATACTAGAGTAAGGTGGGCCTTGATCCAGTATGACTGGTGTCCTTACAAAAAGGGGAAATTTGGAGACAGACAAGTATACAGGGAAAACGTCTTGCACAGATGGAGGCAGAGATTAGATGATGCTTCTACAAGCCATGGAACACCAAAGACTGTGAGCAAACCAGCAGAAGCTAAGGGAGAGGCAGGGTAATAGATTCATCCTCAAAGCCCACAAAAGGAACCAACTCTATTGACATCTTCATCTTGGACTTGTGGCCTCCAGAACTATGATCCAGTCAATTTCTGTTGTTTAAGCCACCACATTTGTGGTGTTTTGTTACAGCAGTTCTAGCAAACTAATACACCCCCTAAGGTAAATTCCTACAAGTAGAATTTCTACCTCAAAGGGAAACATGTACTAAACCTTTTGATACATATTTCCATCCACAAGGGTTGTACCTGTCTGCATTCCCGGTAGCAGTATATACAAGTATTCATTTCATCATACTCTTACTAACACAAGAATTCAGAATTTGTTCTGTAACATTTCACAGTTTAATAAGTAAAACTATCTATTTCTTATATTTTAATGTTCAGTATTTGATAATTAATACCTGGATATATTTATGTTTATTGATTCTTTTGTGAATTGCCTGGTCTCCTCCTTTGCCCCTTTCTCTCCTGGTCAGCTTGCCTATCATTATTGATTCATAAAAATCCTTTATATATTAAAGCTACAAACCATTTTCACAAAGAGATGTAGACACACATATACACACAAAGTAAATACCTTATCTATTCAAGTTTTTATTTGCCTTTTATTTTTGATAGTCTGTATCTGTGCTAAGACAGCACCTCTAGCCACATGTGGCTACTGAGACTTGAAATATGGCTGATCTTACTTGAGATGAGCTGTAATAAATAAAATGCATGTGAGATTCCAAGGACTTAGCATGAGAACAAAGAATGTAAAATATCCCATTAATAATTGTTAGTATTGATTTTATGTTGAAATGATAATGTTTTTGATGCATTGAATTAAATAAAATACATTGCTGAAATTGATTTCATGAATTATAATTTTCAGTTTTTTAATGCATTTATAAAAATTTAAATTACACATGTGGCTCACATTTTTTTCATACATCACATTTCTATTAAACAGTACTCTTCTGTATTACAAAATTATAATGTTTTGTATGTGTAAGTTCTCAATTTCTTTTATTAAGTAAAATCTATCTAATTTTTTCTTTATACTTTTGGACTTCAGTGTCAGGCTGAGAAAGTGTTTCACACCCCAAAATTTTATTAATGGTCACCTATAATTTGTCCTAATACATTTTACATTTGCAAATTAATTGTCTACTTAATTTGAAATTTATCTTTTGCTTATAATGAGAGATTGGAATATACTTCACTTTTTTCCTAGTTGTATTGCTTTGTTTCTGAAACTTGGTCTATTCATTTTCTAGTCATTATTGCTTCGTAAAGCATTTTGACATCTCATAGGACAAATATCTCACATTGTTCTCTTTCAAAAATGTACCGCCTAATTTCACATATTTATACTTTCAGATGCACTTTAGAATTTTTTTTTTTAGTTGTTTTAGTTTTTAGTTTTTTGTTTTTAGTTTTTTTTTATTTCAGTAGGTTTTTGGTGGTGTTTGGTTACATGTATAAGTTTTTTTTTTTTTTTGAGACAGAGTCTCTCACTATCGCCCAGGCTGGAGTGCAGTGGTGCTATCTCAGCTCACTGCAACCTCCGCCTCCCAGGTTCAAGCGATTCTCCTGCCTCAGCCTCCTGAGTAGCTAGGACTACAGGCACTGGCCACCATGCCCGCCTAATTTTTGTATTTTTAGTAGAGATGGGGTTTCACAATGTTGGCCAGGAGTTAATAAGTTCTTTAGTGGTGATTTCCAAGATTTTGGTGCACCCATCACTGGAGCAGTGTACACTCTACCAAATGTGTACTCTTTTATCCCTCACCCCCTCCCACTCTTTGCCCCGAGTCCTCAAAGTCCGTTATATCATTCTTATGCCTTTGTCCTCATAGTTTAGCTGCTGGTCCTCATAGCTTAGCTCCCACTTATGAGTGAGAACATACAATGTTTGGTTTTCCTTTCCTGAGTTACTTCACTTAGAATAATGGTCTCCAACCATCCAGGTTGCTGCGAATGCCATTATTTTGTCCCCTTTTATGGTTGAGTGATATTCCATTATATATATACACACACACACACCAAATTATGGTGTATATATATGTACAACCATAATTTGGTGTGTGTGTGTGCATATATATATATGTATATATATACACACATGTACACCACAATTTATTTATCCACTAGTTGATTGATGGATGGGCATTCGGGCTTGTTCCATATTTTTGCAATTGCAAATTGTGCTGCTATTAACATGTGTGTGCTAGTATCTTTTTCATATAATGACGTCTTTTCCTCTGGGTAGATACCTAATAGTGGGATTGCTAATGGTATGCTACCATTTGGTAGTTCTACTTCTAGTTCTTCAAGGAAATCTGCACACTGTTTTCCATAGTAGTTGGACTAGTTTACATTCCCACTAACAGAGTAAAAGTGTTCCCTTTTCACCACATCCACACCAACATTTTTTATTGTTTTATTTTTTCATTATGGTCATTCTTGCAGGAATAAGGTGTAAATGAAAAAAAAAAAAACTGTTAGAAAATGTATTGGGATTATGTTACATGTAGAAACTCTTCAGGATGTTTGCAGCTGTTTTAATAATGGAGAAGAAGGACAACAGGAGCCCAGGGTTGGGGCATGTTATGTAACAATGGGGACCAGTTATGTAAGTATCGGCACGTCCCAGGTGGATCTCTATGAGGATGTGTATATATTTATTTGACCTGGAAAATGCCCAGATATTTTATTACATGAAAAATATAAGTTCTGACACATGAAGTTTAGCATTATTCCCTTAATGTAAACTTGTGAACATAGATCTACGTGTGTTATTTCCAGACAGACTTATCCCAAAGGGTATAGTCATTTCTAAGTGGTACAATTCTTATTGTCATTTCATTTTTCTTAGCATTTTTTCTATATTACTTGACTGATATTTTACAATTAGTGACTCGGTTATTAAAAACCAAAGGCTATAGCTAAATATTTAATTGACCAATTAATTCAGTAATCTTGAATTAGACTTTTTGCAATACTTTATTTTGTCTTGCCATTCAGAAACATGATATAACTCTCTATTTTTCAAATCTTTTTCTTCCGCAAGAAAAAACTGCTGTTACAATCACATATGCTCTCTGTATTTCTTCTTATTTGTATTCCTGATTCCTATGCTTCTGTTTTTCCACTGCTTTTATAGTCACTTTTGATAGGTGGGAAAACTAGAAAGTTTGGTTTATATATTTAATTTTTTCAATTCAGCCACCTAATAAAATTCCTTAATTAATTCTAAATGTTTCTCAGTTGATTTATTCTCTTGAGTTGTCACGGTAGACAATCTGCAGATCATCTGTGTATTCTTTGTGAAGTTTAAACTCTCTTCTTCTTAGACACTTAGGACACTGGGCCGCTCTGAGGATAATGTCGAATTAGAGTGTTATTAGGATACATCCTTGTCTTGTTCTCTAAATAGAAAGGTGCCTTTTATTTTGTCATCACGACTGACTGCTCTGGGCTCCTGCTGGAGCACACTGCCTTGGTGTCGTGGGTGTGCAGCAGGCCCAGTGCACTGTCCCCCCTCCACTCACCGCTGGCTGCTTGGCTGTAGATAGGGATAAGTTGAAACACCCCTAAGGTAACTTTGTGTGGGTATGTGTGTTTGTGTCTCTTTGTGAAAAGAGTTTTAGCTTTAATATATAAAGAATTTTTGGTACGTCAAGATGGCGGCGTCCGTATTAAACACCCTGCTGAGGCGGCTTCCTATGCTTTCTCTCTTCCGAGGTGCCCACAGAGTTCAGGTTCCCCTCCAGACTCTTTGCACCAAACCTCCCTCTGAGGAAGATTCTTTGTCCCCAGGTCCCATTTCTCCTTATAAGGATGAACCCTGGAAATACCTGGAATCAGAAGAATACCAGGAGCGATATGGTTCTCGCCCTGTCTGGGCTGACTACCTCCGCAACCACAAGGGTGGTGTACCCCCACAGCGGACTCGGAAAACATGTATTCGTGGGAATAAAGTTGCTGGGAATCCCTGCCCCATCTGCCGAGATCACAAGTTGCATGTTGACTTTAGGAACGTGAAGCTCTTGGAACAGTTTGTCTGCGCCCACACGGGTATCATCTTCCATTCTCTATACACAGGAGTCTGTGTGAAGCAGCACAAGAAGTTGACCCAGGCCACCCAGAAAGCCAGGGATCATGGTCTCCTCATTTACCACATCCCCCAGGTTGAACCACGGGACCGTGACTTCAGTACCTCTCATGGGGCTGTGAGTGCTACTCCGCCAGCCCCCACCCTGATCTCAGGTGACCCCTGGTACCCATGGTACAACTGGAAACAGCCACCAGAGAGAGAACTGTCACGCCTTCGCCGGCTTTACCAGGGTCATCTCCGAGAAGAGAGTGGCCCCCCACCTGAGTCAATGCCCAAGATGCCCCCTACAGCACCAGCGGAAGCCTCCTTCACTGGGCAGACAGACCCTCAGAGTGCTCTGTAGGAGCTGTAGACTGGGAAGAGAGGCCAGGCATGGTGGCTTAACAAAACAATACAGAAATTAGCTGGGTGCGGTGCTGCACACCTGTAGTCCCAGCTATTGGGGAGGCTAAGGGAGGATCACTTGATCCCAGGAGGCGGAGGTTGTCATGAGTTGCAGTTGCACCCCTGCACTCCAGCCTGGGTGACAAAGCCAGACCCTGTCTCAAAAAAAAAAAAAAAAAGGGAAGAGAGCCAGAGGGACTAGGAGATAATGTGTATGTAGGTTTATGTAGGTTTATATGATGGGATATCACCCTGAAGAGTTGTGTCTTTTGTAGCCAATGACAAATCCAGGAAATAAATGAATGTTGCTGATAGGGATAAATCTTGAGGCTGAGGGAGGGCAAGACAGATGTGTATGGGAAACCCCAACCCCTATATATTGTAAATAGATGGGCTGGGCTAAACATTGTTGCTGTTTCAGACTTACACCAACTCAGCTTTTACACAATAAAGCTCTACTCTCCTGTCAAAAAAAAAAAAAAAAAAAGAATTTTTATGAATCAATAATGATAGGCAAGCTGGCCAGTAGAGAAATGGACAAAGAAGGAGACTGGAGACTTATCCTTATCTACAGTGAAGCAGCAAGCTGTGGGTGGGAGCAGATGCTGTGGGGAACACATGTTATTTTGTTTCTGAAGTCTCTGTATCATCCCCAAGTGCGGTGCAGGAAGAGATGCTAACTCCTGAGGAGGAATGGGCTATTGCTGAAGGTTCTGGGAACCCCAGGTTTCTGGAGATACCAATCTAGCCATCCTCATCTCATGTGTCAGAGTCCCATTCTTTCCCAATCAGTACCCTGAACTTGGCATAAAAGATGTGCTTTGTTTGGGTATGTCATCTTCTCAGGAGTTCAGCCATGCTGAGCATTCGGTCCTGGGCCTGTCCTCAGGCCTCTCTGTCTTCCTCCTGCAGAAGATGAAGCTCTTTCTATGCTTTCTTTGCTCTGTCCTCATATTTTTGTTTCCTATGTCCTGGACCATCAATCAAGCTTAACATAAGTCACCCAATTCAATTGTCCTTAGAGCTACTACTTCCCCCATATTTCACAACTGCCCAAAACATTGGGCAGTTAATGCACTCCCTTCCACCGCTCTGCCATCCATCCATTCCCTACCAGACAAGTGGCAACAACTGGACCTCCACTTCGTGCCTTGCTCAGGACAGGGTCCTCACTGCCAACCAGGAGGTGGGTGATTCAGCTTCAAAACCCCATCTTATCATCTGTGCAGTGAGTTGAATGGTAGCCTACCCCCCCCCACCGCCTCCCCCACGCCAAAAGATATGTCTCCAAGAGCCTGTAAATAACCTTATTTGGAAAAATAGTCACTGCAGATGTAATTACAGATCTCAAGATGAGATAATCCTGGATTAGGGTAGGCCCTAAATCCAGTTACTGGTGTCCTTATGAGAAAAGAGAAGGGGAGAAGACACAAAGGAGAAGGCCATGTGAACATGGATGCAGAGATTAGAGCACTGTGTCTACAAGCCAAGGAATACCACAAATTGCCCGCTGTCACCAGAAGATAGGAGAAAGACATGGGACAGGTTCTCCCTCAGAGCCTGCAGAAGGAGCTAACCCTGCTGACACCTTGATTATAGTCTTCTGGCCACCAGAACTGTAAGAGATCAATTTATCTTGTTTTAAGCCACCCTGTGTGTGGCAATTTGTTACAGTAGCCTTAGGAAACTAATGCAATCTCCCTTTTAGAACCACTTCCAGAACCAACTATCCAAAGTTGGGTTCCCTAGGAGCCAGACTCTGAGATGAAGTTTGGAGGACAGGATATTTATGAATGACTCCCCTGGGACCAACATCTGTGGAAGCTGGAGAGGAGGGGTAGGAGAAGGGCAGGAGAAAGAAGGAGTGAGCAAAAGGAAAGGCTGAGCTGCAATTCAGGTCCAACCAGAGCCTTGGTTGATCTATGGCGCCCTCCAGAATTGCCCTCACTTGAATCAAGATGGCCACAGTGATGAGTCGTGGGTGTAGGCCACCAGGGTATGAGCGTGACGTTGGGTGAAGCAGTTTTCTGTAACTGAAGCAATCCCTGGAGGGGCTGACAGCTGATGGCAGCTGCCAACAGCACTCCTAGCAGCTGGTGCAATGGAGCCCTTCCTTGAAGAGGAATCTGAGTGGCACATTGGTGCCCAACACAGCTTCCTTGGCTCAGTACTGTTTTTGTAAGATTCATTCATGTCCTTGCAGTACCTATAGTTTGCACTGCAATACATCTCCATTCTATGAATTTATTTAAACATATAATGTATTGAATCATTCTCCTGTTGATTAACATTTGGTTTGTGTTATGAGCTGAACTGTGTTCCTCCTCCCCTTCTAAGAAAATTTGTTTTTATTTGTACCTCAGAACATGACTGTATTTGGAGATAGGGTCTTTAAAGAGGTAATCGGTTAAAATGAGATCATTGGAGTGGGCCTTCATCCAGTATGACTAGTGTCCTTGTAAGAAGGAGATTAGAACACAGACACACACAGATGGAAGACCACGTGAGGACACAGGGAGAAGATGGCCATCTGCAAGCCAAGGAAAGAGGACTTGGAAGAAACCAATCCTGCTGACACCTGGATCTCAGACCTCCAGCCTCTAGGACTGTGAGATAATAAATATTGATTCTTTAAGCCATCCAGTCTGGAGTACTTTGTTATGGCGGCCCTGGCAAACTAATAAAGTCTGATTCTGGTTTGGGGCTTCTATTAACATCCTCATATGTTGATACCCATGTTGGTATCCATGTTCAAATGCTTTTCTCTGGTATATCAGAATCTCTGGAGTGTATACTTCTTAAATAGGAGTAAATCATTGGCTAAAAGTTTGTGGATGAGCCGCTTTATTAGATATTGATTGAGTGTTTCCAAAGTAATTAAACTAATTTACATTATCTTCAGCAGGGTATTCAAATTCCAATTGTTCCATGTCCTTGTCAACACTTGGTGCTATTATCAGACTTATAAATTTTTGCAAACCCAAGGGCACATAATTGTTTTAATGTATATTTCCCTGCCTATTAATGATGTAGAACATTTTGTCACATGTTTTTGGTCACTTAGAGTTCCGCTGTTGAGAAGGGCGTGTTCAAATATTCGCCCAATTTTTCTTTTGTGTTGTCTGTCATATTCTTATTGATTGAGTCATATTGGTCTGGAAGTTGCAAATGTCTTTCCTGATTCTGTCTGTTGTTGTTGTTGTTTTACCTTATGGTATCTTTAAGGATAGTTCTTAAATTTTAATGTCTCAAACGTATCAATTTCTTTTTATGGGTAATGTTTTCATGCCTGATTTAAGAAAACCTTCTGCCCTCTACCTCCCCTGCGTCACCCAGCTTTCCTTCCCTCTGAGTAATACCGTCCTTCTCCGGACTGCACATGATTTTCTAGATGCCATAGAGAGAGAGATCTGGGGTCATATGAGCCACAAACAGCTTGAAGCTTCGTCTTTGGGGCTGGCACCTTCCGAGGAAAGAGGGCTTCTCTCTCCCGGCATCTTTACATAAAATCCCTAGAAAGAGTCTCATTAACCCATTTTAGGTCACACCCTCACCTTTGGCAGAGGAGGTGTGGCTACATAACTAACAGACCCCATCGAATGACATTTCCTTCTTTAAAAGGAAGGAATGCTGAGCCTGTGCCCTGGAACCAGGGGAAGAAGTCAGACATTCAAGAAACTGGAAGAAGGCCAGTGTGGCTGGGATAGTCTAGAACAGGAGTGTCCAATCTTTTGGGTTCCTTGGGCCACACTGGAAGAATTGTCTTAGGCCACATGTAAAATACACTACCACTAATGATAGCTGATGAGCTAAAAAATAAACAAATAAAATTTTAAAAAGAAGGAGAAAAGAAAATTGCAAAAAAATCATAATATTTTAAGAAAGTTTACAAATTTTTATTGGGCCACTATCAAAGTCATCCTGGGCTGCACGTGGCCCGCAGGCCATGGGTTGGACATGCTTGGTCTAGAAAGAGAGGAAAGTGTTGCAAGATGAGACAGGATGTGGGCAGATCTACATCACACACTATCTCTGAGGCCATGTTAAGGATTTTGGATTTTTTGTCATTCAAGCAATGAGCTATACCATGTTCTGATGCTGATAATGATGGCTTGGGTCAAAGTGCATCAACAGAGCCTGCCATTTATGCACTCATATTATTGTTTGAAGTTCTGTTGTCTCTGGTTCAAACGAGATGACCCTATTTCTGAACTCCATTATCCTGAAAACTAATGATTAGGGTACCAATTATGTTTTTAGCACATGCATAGCCCTGGGGTTACATAGCCCTTGTCCTTAAAGCACTCACAGTCTCGTGGGAAGATAAAGTTCACACCCCTGATGCATTTAGAAAACAAATTCTTACTGAGGCTGAATCCATCCACATCAAACATTGTTATGAAATTTAAAGCACATCATTCCTTAATGGATAAGCAATACTGTCTACTTCTACCTGGAGATCTCACTTCAACACATGTCAATAAGTGAGGCAGAAATATTAGTTATAATGTAAGATCATTAACAGGTAACCTTCCAAGATAACTTTCCAGGTTAAAATGCAGATTCCTCCGTTACGTGTCACAAACAACTATCTAGAACAGTACTGTCCAGTAAAAAACTAGATAACCTTCTGAGATAACCTAGTTTAAAATATAGATTTATCTGTTGCCTGTTGGAAACAACTGTCTAGAATGATGCTGTCCAGTAGAACTTTCTATAACAATGAATTATTTCCTATCTGCTCCATCCAATATGGTAGCCACTGGCCACATTTGACTACTGAGCATTTGAAATGTGACTGGTGTGGCCAAGTAACTGAAAATTTAATTGTATTTAATTTTAGTTGACTTTAATTTTAATGACATCATGGCTATTGGCAATAGTATCAGAAATCTCAGGTCTAGAACATGGCTGAAAACCTAGGAGGGGGCAAAAGTGATCTCTCAGTAGCCTAAATTAGAATTACAACAGGTACGTATAGAACCCACCCTCCTCATTAAAAAAAGTCCCTCAGCTTTCATGGAGATTGTAAAGAATCTGTGTGTGATTATTTTTTACACACTTCCAACAAATTTTGTTACATGGTTTCCAGCCCATCAAAAAAAAAAAGCTGCAAATTAAAATTTTGAGATGGAAGTCAGCATGTTGAAAACAAGAAGAAGTGAAATTATAACATGATAGCTAAGAAAGAGACAGAAAAATGAATATTGTATAGTATTCTTTAGATTGCATTCTGTAGGACACTAGGCTGTTACAAAGCTTAAGTGATGTAAATATGTTAGTCCTTTTTGAAGAGTTTATTAGCATACAAATGCTCTGAGAATCATGTAAAGAGAGTGATTTAACTTAATTTTAACCAGAGTTTTCAATTAGGGAAACTTTAAAAAAAAAAAATCTTGCAAAAAAAGTTTTCCATGAATCACAGTTTGGGAAATGCTGAAGTGAACTTACAAACTTTGAAGGACAAGCTGGGAAGCATTGATTGCA